GGGACCCATCCAAGTGGGGTCACCTTCCCCGTGCTGATGTCCCTTCAAGAACCCCCCCCCTTCCATTGGTCCCACTTCAGGTGGCTTCTTTACCATCTGTTTTCATGGTTAAGGCAGGAGCTTCCTCATACTGTGGTGTGTGTGTACCCTGAAGTCTGGATCACAGCTGGAGTGTTGAAAGCGCCGCACAAATCCGTGGGAGTGGATGTCAGCGGGAGTTCTTGCTTTGTACTTAACCAATCAAGTAGATTCAGAGTGTGACAGCTTCTTCCTGGGGTCAGTCTGGGCACTGAGCCCAGTGGGGCTGCCCCCAGCAAGGGCAGAGCCAGGCCGCCAGTAAGCTCCTGTGTTACCACCATTGCTGCGGCTTTAACTAAAGACCCACGGCAAGACGGGAAGGAGAATTAGAAGCTCTTTATGAGCCAGTTTGGAAGGCTTGCCAAAACATACCTCGAGGAGAAAAGAACCTGCAGGGCGCCTGTGCACATACAGGCACAGAGACTGGAGACGGCAGGCGGGTGGCGTGTGTCTGGGATGTGCCAGTCCTACTCACTCCTTGGCACGATCTAAACTTGGTACTATTTGAATGTTCTATTTAGAAAAAAATAAGTAAAATAAATTTTAAAAAATTATTACTATTACTGTGTATGTATGCATGTGTGCCCCACACGCATCTGGGTCCAAAGATCAACTCTGGGTATCTTCCTCAACTATCCTTTGCCTCTTTGCCTTATATTTTGAGGAAAGCTCTCAACGTTAGGTTTATTTTATTTTTTAGTTTTTTATTTTTTGTTTTTTCCTCTGTGCAACAGTCTTGGCTGACCTGGAACCCTCTTTGTAGATCAGGGTGACTTCAAACTCACTGAGATCCGCTTACCTCTGCCTCCCAAGTGCTGGGACCACTTGGCTCTAGTTAGGTTTTTATTGTTGTGATAAAGACCATGACCAAAAGCAGCTTGGGGAGGAAAAGGTTTATTTCAGCTTCCAAATCCTAGTACATCATGAAAGGCCGTCATGACTTGAACTCAGGCAGAAACTCGGAGGCAGGAACTGAAGCAGAGACCAGGGAGGAGCCCGGCTTGCTGCCTGCTATCCAGGTTTGCTGGCCTGCTTTCTCTCCACAAGGCCACCTGTGCTGGGGTGTTACTACCCACAGTGCACTGGGTGCACTCGCATAAGCCAGAAATGAGGCAAGTGCTCCAATCTGATGGGGAGCATTTTCTCAATTGAGGTTCCTCTTCCAAGGTGACTCTAGCCTGTGTCAAGTGGACTAAAACCTAACCAGGACAGTCTCTGACTGAATCCGGAGCTTGACAGTTGGGCTAGCTAGGCTGACTGGGCAAACATCTGCCTCTGTTTCAGCCTCCCAGTGTTGAGATTACAGCTATTATGTGTGGCCATGTCTGATTTTTACATGGGTGCTGGGCATCCAAACTCAGGTTAGGGTCTCATGATTATATAACAAGACTTCACCTGTTTATTCTTTATTCAGTCCCCGCTCCTTTCTTCTGTCCTTTCCTGTCCTCTCTTCCTCCCATCTCCTCTCCTCATGACACAGTCTCACACTATAGTTTAGATTGGCCTGGAATTCATCATGTAGCTCAAACTACCTTTCCAATTCAACAGTCATCTGCCTCAACCTCTCCAGCACTCGGGTTATAGGCCACCGTGCCTGCCTTATTTAGAGTGTGTCTGTGGGTGGGGGAGGGGCTGGGTTTACCTTGAACTCAAGATCTTGCCTTAGCTCCTTGAGAGTTAAGATTATAGGTGTCTGCCACCAAGGTCAGCTAATCTAAATAAACAACACTCATCCAAATGAGGAGCCCTCTTGCCGGCAAAACTTGTGGCCTAGACACATGTGTCTGAAATAAGGTGAAGGATGCTCCATTGTACTCACAACCATTTGAGAGGCACTTGTCAGAGGCCTAGAAACACAAAGGGAAGCTGCAAAGATGCTGACTCCCCAGATCAGTGCCTGAACCATGGCTGGAAGAATGAGCAGAGTCATGGATTTGGGATATGACAACACCTTCAAGTTTATTGGGAAATGATGGATTATTAATATAAAAAAATTGGCATTGCATCCACACTCTTTTTCAGGGGTAGGGGAATTCCATAGGAAAAGTAGATTCTGGGTGGAATTAAGAGATACTGGGAACAAAGTACAGAAAAGGAATTTACTAAAGTCAGTACTGAAAGAAAAGAAAATAGTTCCTCCTCCTTCTCCCCTCCTCCTTTTTGTTTTTTGAGACAGAGTTTCTCTGTATAACAGCTCTGGCTGTCCTAGAACTTGCATTGTAGACCAGGCTGGTCTCGAACTCACAGAGATCCACCTGCCTCTGCCTCCTGAGTGCTGGGATTAAAGGTGTGTGCCACTACCACCTGGCTGAGAATAGCTCTTCTTTCTCTTTCTCTCTCTCTCTCTCTCTCTCTCTCTCTCTCTCTCTCTCTCTCTCT